GCCCCTTCTACAAAATCCCTGCAGCCCCACGCACTCAGTTACAGGCAGACAGTCACGCACTCAGTTACAGGCAGACAGTCACACATACACATTTCCTCTGTGCGGCCAGTTTATCAGCTGTTTGCTTGTGTGAGCTGTACTGGCTGCACGGCACCCTAACTACCATGGGACACTGCGGCCAAAGCTCACCCAGCCCCCTCCAGCCAGGGCCGGTGCAAGGATTTTTGCCGCCCTAGGCAAAAGTAAAGTTTGCCGCCCCCCATGTGACATCACAATGCCCCACCCATATGACTTGCCATGTTCACTAACGCCAGTGCTGCAGTGCCACCGTGTTTACATTAAAAGGCCTGCAGGGACAGGCTATAGACACCAGAATCACTACATTAAGCTGAAGTAGTTCTGGGGACTATAGTGTTTCTTTAATGTGAGGTAAAATAGAGATTAGTGCCACGAATAATATACTAGATTGCCTACTTACAACCAGATGAGGATGATGATGGGCTTCAGTCTGGCTCCACTGGTCTGGTGCAGAACAGGCTCTCTGGAGGTGGTTTGTAACTGTGGTCACAAAAATCAATGTTCTGGGAGAACGGGAAGCCGCTCCATTTTTTTGGGGGTCCTTTACACAGCTCAAGGTCTGGGTCCCAGGGTCCACCTTCATGTTCCACCAATGAGTTTGTGCACAGGGGGTGGTGTGTGGAGGGGATGTCCTGATATGTGTGTAAGGAATGCACTGTGTGAAATTGTTTGTATGTGTAAGGGCTGCAAGGTGTGTTTCTGTGTATGTACGGGATGCATTGAGTGTGTGTAATGAATGCATTGTGTGTAAGGAATGCATTGTGTGTAACGGTTGCATTGCTTGTGTCTGTGTGTAATGCATTGTGTGTTTTTCTGTGTGCAAGGGGTGCATTGTGTGTATGTGATGAATGTCAATCTCTCCTCCCCCTCCTCCCAATTTTTCTTTCTCCCCCCCTCCTCCTAATTTCTTTCTCCCCTTCCCCCCTACCTTTGTTGTAGCGTGGCCGAGCCCAGTATAGTCCGCGGGTACAGGGAGCTTTTGTTTCCTGTACCCGGCTGGACTTACAAGACTACCCGTCGGACCATCATGCTGCAGGGCTCGGCCACACTACAACTGAGGGAGTGTCAGGAGGGAGCGCTGAGCGCTCCCTCCTGTCAGCCCCTCTCCTCAGGCTGCGCCTGGGCGGTGCGGTCCACCCTCATGGACGCACCGCCCGGGCAAAGCTGCAGCCGCCTGAGGCTCTCTACAGAGCGCTCGGGTGGCTGCAGCATGGGGGGGCTGGTCACCCCCACCCTGCTGGCACCCGGGGCGGACCGCCCCCTCCACCTCCCCTTAGTACGCCACTGTATCTGTGCATGTACCAGTTTGTGGAAAAAGTGGCAACATGACTGCAATGTGAGAGTGGTATGGTTAATGTCATGCTAATGTGGCAATATATACAACATCCATAGGGGGATATATATACACATGCGCGCACACACACAACTGAGAACTGAGTGCATATTAGACTATGTATAGAAAGAATTATGAGAGGATTATAGCCTATGTTACATATTGAGAAATGTTAGTTATTTACAACTCTGTTTTCCAATCTGCAATCTCATTAATTAGTAAATGATTTTTTTAAAAATCTTTGCAACCAATACAATTTTTTGGGTTTTGTTTCTATTAAATATAATGCACTATCTATGCATACTGAAATGAAATACACATTTAAGCATTACTTTCCAGGACACCCAAAATACTCAAATTCCAAGGGTGTTTTTTTCTGCGAACCACTTGTTAGTGAAGAGGTTGAACATAGTTTAAGGTAGCAGCTGGAAAATGTTGCCGTAATTAAGGTATTAAGATGGTTAGTCTAAATATGAAGGGGTAGTATGGAAAAGGTAGGCATCATTAGTATATGATGCATTTAAATTGTAGCTATATGATAAAGTTACCTGGAGGAGACAATTTAAAAGGAAAGTTTAAGTTGTTTTAATGCTACTTGTTCACTTACACCCCCGGAGAGGCCATTTGACAAATGCAGCAAAAGGCCATCTGAAAGAAATGGAGAAATTAAATCTAGAGCTCCCCCTCAAATGCAGAGTGTATAAAGTTGCAATTAAGACCAATGTCACACTGGCAAGGTTGTTCACTAAAGTCTGAATGTTTGCCAATGAAATCGTAATGGCAAACCGGAGGCGAAAATAGCCCAGCTGTGACAATGGCTAAGTTGGAGATTTGTTTTTCAAATCGGCTATTTTTGCCTCAGATCTTCCACTCAGATTTCATTTGTGAAAATAAGAAGTTTAGTGAAAAAACCCAGAGATCTTAATCTATCAGTGAGATCGTGACAGGAGAATTTGCCTTTACTTGTACTAATGATATTAGCATGTTTTTCAGGTAATTTGTTTCACTGGATTACTCACAAGATCGATCACAATCATATTGTAGGCAAGATTTAACTTTTCAGTTTTAGAGTGACTTATTTGAAGGAGGGAAATGTTTCACCATTTAGGACATTAAAGATATTGTTTATATCTGCTTTATGAAGAGGATAGGTGAATGGAGTTCAGGAGCTCCCAACTTGCCCTTCTACAGTCTATAATGAATGCAACGGCGAAGCTCATCTTCCTGTCTGCCTGCACATCTTATGCTTCCTCCCTCTTTCAGTCCCTGCATTGGCTTCCCGTAAGATATAAGGCTCAATTAAAAATTCTGGTTCTTGCTTTCAAATCTCTACATAATGTTGTTCCCACCTATCTATCCTCCCTAATACACAAGTACCATCTAGGCCCCTACCCTTTGTAGAAGACCTAAACCTATCCTCTGTTCGTACTCCCACTTCTAATGCTCTCCTTCAAAACTTCTCAAGAGCTGCAGCTTTCCTGTGGAATTCCCTTCCCTTCTCTGTTAGATGATCACACAGTCTCCACTCCTTCAAAAAAATCATTAAAAACTCACTTCTTCACAAAAGTGTATCAATTAAACTGTTAATAGCTCCCAAAAAATTTCTCTCCTGCAACTGTCAAAAAACACAAAGAAACACAAGTCTTCAGTGAATACTATTCTAACAATTTGCTTCACTAATACTATCCTTACCTTTTTGTGTCACTTTACCCCACTCACTCCAGCTTGTAAGCTCTCTGAGCAGGGCCATCAATCCCTATGTTCCTATGTGTCTAACTCGTCTGGTTACAATAACGTTTGTTAGTCCACCCATTGTAAAGCGCTGCGGAATCTGTTGGCGCTATATAAATAATTGATAAATGGCTTGGTGGGTAAAAGCTAAAGAAACATTTTCCCACTCTGAGAGAAGAATGCCAACGATATTTGTGATTATTTACAGGTATAAAATATAATTTTATTAATAGAATTATTTTAATACAATTCTTATGTTATGAAACATTCGGTTCACAGTGTCAGTTGTGTCAAATGAAGAAGCACGAATCACAGTGAGAGGTCTGTGTTGAAAATTTAATTTCCTTGTAATGAGAGCATTCATCGAACTTATACTGTTTATTTATTTTTATAGACAGGTGAAAGAAGGTTATGTTAATTTAACCCGGAAAATATAAATTTTGCAATTGTACGAGTAGATTGGATTATTGAGGACATAGTTTAATGTTTTCTGGGGGGGTTTTTTTGTTTTTTTTCTGTTTTTTTTTTTTTAAAAGGAAAGCATGTAGAATCATCGAATATTTCAAAGATGGTATATTTTTATTCAGGAAAATCTAACTCTGTAAAGGATAGGGTGAATGATTATCTAAGAGGTATAGTAGTGTGTATAAAATAAATCTTAAATTATGTCCGTAAAAAGAACGTGATCTTGACACACATTGCAAACCCTTATTCATCACATTAAGCAACTACTACACAATCACACTCTGCCACCACAGATAATGTCACTTAAACTGCATATTAGTATGAATTTTATTGCTGTGGAACTTTGTGATACTCATGCACTTTATATTGCTGTGAGTTATATTAAACCTTTCAGTTAATTACAAGCTGTAGGCAGGATGTTTCCCTTTCATCTTTCCAACTGCTCTTGAAGTTTCAGACCTTGATAAAAGTCTCTCACTGAGCCTGAAATGTTGATTGGATTATGCACTAGCTGAATGAACAGAAAATACCTTATTTTCAATACAAATCCGTGTGTGTATGTCTCTATCTCTATCTCTATCCATGCAGGAGTCTGCAAGCACTAAACCGACAGCCTCCCGCATTAAAGTTATTACAAACTTGTGATTTCCCTTTACACAATAGGTCTACCCAATTTTTCTTTGAGTTCTTTTTGGGCAGGTGTGTTAGTTAAACCAGTTTGAGACCTGATGGTGGAGGGGGGATCAAATTAATTTGGGCACAAGTAAGTAGAGTCTTAAACCCGGCAAAATGTCTGCAAAATAGTTCGGTATCAAGTTGGCAAGTTGGCTCCAGTCTGTGTGCATATTAAATTGAGCCAATGTCGCTGTTGCTTTTTCCTGAAAAAGATTTGTGATAATTAGAGTTGAGCGGACACCTGGAGTTTGGCCGAACTTTGAAAAAAGGTTTGGGCTCGAACTTGACCCCGAACCCAAACCCCATTGAAGTCAATGGGGACCTGAACTTTTGGCCATTAAAATGCCTCAAAAAAACTCCTGGAAAGAGCTAGAGAGCTGCAAAAGCAAGTAAAATGGGGGTAAGAGTAGTGCCCTGCAAACAAATGTGGATAGGGAAACCACTTAAAATAACAAAAATACAGCTGAGCCATAAAATAGCACTAGATGGAATCTTTGATTTTTAGCTTTGGAAGAATATAAATCAAAATCTAAAGCATGGCTGTCAGAAGGATCAACAGAATTATCCATTTGAGAGAGGGTTGGAGTGCAGGGGTGTTCTCTTTCATTGTTCAAACTGAGCTCAACTCCTGATGCATGGAGAAAAGGCCTTCACAAGCCTCTGCTATTGTGTACATAGTTTATACTAAGTGACCCATAGGTTGAGGAGGCGGTGACCGTGGCGTTGTAGGTAGATAGATAGATAGATATATATATATATATATATATATTTATAATCTTTTTTTTATTTTATTTTTTATTTATTTTTTAATTGGGGTAGCCCCCAAAATATTGGGACATATACAAAAAAACAACAACTCTGTTCTGCAGAGTAGCTGTTGACATTATAGTTGCACAGGCACTTTATTGACTCTAGAGAACCTCAGGCCAATCGCATATCCCTGTGGTGGCGACTCTGCATGCGGATCTCATCCATATCAACTTTTGATGCCAGTTTCTGCACATACCATGGTGACCACGGGTAACAGGGAATCAGGGTTCCATTTTGTACAGGGACTCTGAGAAACGGCTACCACATGCAAGGAAGGCAGCAGGCGCACAAATTACCCACTCTCGACGCAGGGAGGTAGTGACGATAAATAACAATACAGGACCCTTTACAGGCCCTGTAATTGGAATGAGTCCACTTTAAATCCTAGGATCTATTGGAGGGCAAGTCTGGTGCAGAGCGACTGACCCGTGTGTGCTGCAGCTGAAACTCAACTATCGCCTGCTGCTGCTCGCACAGTCTCTCCAGCATATGCAAGGTGGAGTTCCACCTTGTGGGCACGTTGCATATTAGGCGGTGAGCGGGAAAGCCAAAGTTACACTGCAGCGCAGACAGGCCAGCCGCAGGGTGAAAACGCCGAAAAGCACGCACAACCGCTACAATGAAACTACGGATGGCTCATTAAATCAGTTATGGTTCCTTTGATCGCTCCATCTGTTATTTGGATAACTGTGGTAATTCTAGAGCTAACACATGCCGATGCTGTGCTGGTGCCTCTGTGTGACCACCGCCTCTTCCTTCAAACTGCACACGTCACTCACATGACCTTCATTCCATGTGGGGTCTAGGACCTCATCATCCTCCACATCATCTTCCACCCACTCCTCAACCCTGTCCTCCTTGCCGGTCTGCACACTGCAGAAAGCCACAGCAGTTGGCACCTGTGTTTTTCCAGCATGTAAACTCTGCAAAGGACACATGGAAATTGTTTTAGAATTGTATCCAGGCAACAGTTTTCCCTATAAACTGACCTCAGTTTGACTTGTGAGGGTATAGACCCAGAATTACAATATTGTTGAAGTACCTCTTAGCTATTGATAACTGGTTTAAATATAGCAGCTTGTTATCTGATAGTTTCTAGTGTAGAAAATATCAATCTGTTTTCTATCACTTAGATCTGTTTAACAAGTGTTGTAGGTGTGAAACAATATTACAAGTGACGATGTAGTAAATTCGAAGCAAAGTTCCATTTGCAAAAAAAATATTCTGTGGGTTATTGCATTTTTAAGATGTAGACTTATTGTATCACACTAGCCATGCACAGGTAGATTGTCTGGCACAGTGTTTTGGTGTTTGGTTTTTAACTTTGTAGTTGTGTCTTTACAAAATATAGAAATGTATATTAATGCTTCTATATATGAAGTGATCACAATAACGCTTATTTTTCACTTTTTAAACTTTAGACTTTCTTGAGAAGCGGTAACTAGCCAGTGTTGCACACATACAACAGATATGAAGTGCACACCCCAAATGTACTTTTTAGCACCTAAAGAATTTGAATGTTTAAAAATGCGCTGTAACCACAGTATTTGACGGTTCTATTTGACTCTCAGATATGAAGTGCACACCCCAAATGTACTATTTAGCACCTAAAGAATTTGAATTTGTAAAACTGCTATGTCACAGCAGTATTTGACGGTTCTATTTGACTCTCAGATATGAAGTGCAGGCCCCAAATGTACTATTTAGCACCTAAAAATATTGAATATTTGGGGGCAGAGCCAAGCTGAATGGCCGCACATATCCTGAGCTCTGACCACAGAATTGCTAAACATACCTTGAAAGACCCTAAAATAGTGAAACCTACTACCAGGGAATCTCCCACGAGACAGTGGAAACATCATGGGACGCAAATCCAAAAAGATGAAACCCGAAAAGCCATGGATGGGCTTAGATATCGGAGACTTGTTGCGGCAGGCACATGGAGCAGTAAGGCCAAAGATGGCCAATTACCCTGAAACGTACTCCGACCTCTCAGATGACATGTCCCCAGAAGAAGAAACAGATTCACCCTGCAAATCCAAAACCAGCACAGAGGCACACTGACCATGATAACGCACCAGGGACTGCTACAATGCTGAAAGCGCTCCTGGCAGACCTCCAGAAGAGCATCTAGACGGATGTCGCACTTCTCCACACTGACCTTCAAGGCCTGACGGGCAGACTGGCGGTGGTGGAGGCGGCATCCTACGACCAAGCCCAACAGATCGCTATGCTGCAGGAGGCTGTCCGGTGGCTCCAGCGACACAACGAGCAGGCTGAGCACCGCTTCATTGCCATAGAAGACTGGCGGCGAAAAAACCATGTTAAAATTCGGGGCATCTCGGAAGAGGTACCGACGGAGTTACGGCATTTCCTTAGGTGCCTACTAGGCAATATACTTACCCCAAGACACGGCAAAATGGTGGGAATCAATGGATTCTTCACAGTGCCGAAGTCTCCTCGAGTGCCAGATAAAGTACCGAGGGATCTGGTCCTCCAGCTGATGAGCGGGAAAGAGAAGGCAGCGGTGCTGGTGGCGGTCAGAGACCACGTGCCATACAAGTTTGAAGACATGTCTCTCTCATTCTTCCCAGACCTGTCAGGTACCACACTAGCCTGGAGAAGATCGCTCCGGCTGTTTACCTCTCTCCTCAGGCAGCGAATACCATATCAGTGGCGGCAGTCCTGCACCCTAACGATCCAGCAAGAGGGAAATAAGCACCAGGTACACAACCTCGCGGAAACAGCAGCCATACTTACTCCTGACGCCCTGACATCAACCGGAGCTGAGGTAGCAGCCCGCACGCCGCACCAATGGAATTCAGAGACAGTGATCCCCTTCTCCCCCTGACGGACGGCCAAGGGAGAATACGCAGTGGCCACTACCTGAGGAGGGTATTGAAATGGACAGTCACCATATACAATAGCCCCCAGATACTGCCTAGTGTAGTACAGTTAATACTGTTAATGTTGTGTTTTTTTTTTTGTCTTTTCACATTTTCGTTCCACTGTTATAAGGTTTAGCCTCACTTGGTACACAACACATGAGAGCTCACGCATACAAAGCTCACACCCCGCTCGACTGCCAGCTTTGAGCAGACTATATCCCCCCCACATGCCTTCTGAGACCAGCGAGCACAAAATATAAAACCAACAATGTAACAGTAGTATTTAAGGGTTTTTATTGAACTGCAAGAAATGCAGTACGCAAATGTACTATTTAGCACAAAAAAAGTCCCACTGAGCTACCAGAACAGGATTAAAGTAATGTGCCTGGCATACATGCAGTTGCAAGTGCACTGCACTCTCTGTGGCACTGGACTCAGGGCAGGGTACAAAAATATAGTATAGCACCCACAAACATAATCGCTCTAGTTTGCAGATTCAACACCAGAATTCTTTCCTAATCTGTCCCTCACAGCTGCAGCATCCTCTCCCTACACTAATAAGCTCTCATGTGATGTGCGGCGCTACGTGACTCCAGCTTATATATAGAGGCTGGGTCACATGCTGCACTGGCCAATCACAGCCATGCCATTAGTAGGCTGTGATGGATTCTAAGGGCACACGAGTCAAACGCTTGTTGATTGGCTGCCCTGAAGCCTTTCAAAACGCACCATTAAATCGCTGAACACCGAACTCCAACTCGAACATACACTGATATGTCCGTGTTCGGGTCTGGGGTCCAAAAATCGCAATGTTCGGTACCAACCCGAACTTTACAGTCCGGGTTCGCTCAACTCTAATCATCATTACTGTGAAGACATGTAGACTACAGATTGGTGAGTCTTGTTTATGTATTTAGCACTATTGCTCTAAAAGTTCCATTGTAGAAGTTTTCACATTTATTTTTCAGGTGTTTGAGTCTTCAACAGCTAGCATTTTTCAAATGTAATGTTTATTGTTAATATTTGAATGTACACCTTTATTTGCATTTTTTGTGTACAGTGTTTTTACCGTTTATCCTATGTTCACAAATCTTCCTCTTCATCCTATGTTCACAGTTGTCTCCTTTGTACTCCAATTAATTTTTACTTTTACTTAAGAGTAAGAGTTTCTCAAATGTGGTGCTTTTTGTTAGTATTATAATGTACACTTTCATTTGCACTATTCTTATATACAACATTTTTTATCATTTATATTTAATAAATCTTGCTTTTTATCCTGTGTTCTCAGTTGTCTCATTTGTACCTCAGTTATTGGTTCATTTTATAGTATTTTTACTTCACAGTGAGCATTTCTTAAATGTAGTACTAGTTATTTTATTCTTTTTGAAAATCCTGATTTTTATATTATTCAACCAATATCATAAGGTTGCAGAATAAAAGTAGTAACAAGTACTAATATTGTACAGACCATCGTTATCAAGCAATCCATACTAAATGTTAACAATCAGGGATTCAAAAGCATCTATATCTACTTCTTAATTCCAAAGGGCTCATATAGAAGGCTAACTATTAATGAGCAGAATAAGTGTACATTAAAAAATTGTTTGGCAATTGGTTCTCCCTTAACATTTTTGAGTGGGTACTCAATGACTCTTTTGTGCATCTGTACTAGGAATGAAAGAGAAAGATGGAAAAGTTATTTGGGGTAAGGAACAGAAAGAGATAAAAAGGTTGGGATATCCCAACTCCTCTCCCAAGGCTTCTCCCCATTCCTCACATCCCTCTTCCCTATGCTCTGGCTTAGATTCCCTGGGTTCGCTAGGCTGTGTAGTCGATC